GATTGTGGGTGTGTGTTTGTCTTTGTGTGTGTCAAAGATTCCATGTCTGTTGCATTATTTTACGTGTTTCTGTATATGCATTTCTTACCTGTGTATGTGCACATGCCTATATGTGTATTTCTTACCTGTTCCTGTGTGTGTATCTCTAGTGACCACAGGGTGGGGTCGCGGACAGCCACATTTTATCAAAGTACTTCTCTTCCCACTATACATGATAGGAAGGAAGAAAGGGGAACTGTGAGCTTGCCAGACACCCCCAAAATCGTCCATTGCAATTAGAGTATGGAGAATCCCAGATGGCTCTAAGGGTAGGAATAAAATGGGGAAGGAGGCTGGAATCCTCCCCTCTGTCTTGTGAAAGAAAGATCAAGCATCCCAGGCATACAAGTTAAGGACTTATTCTGTGCCCCAGAGTCCCTGGAAAGTAGAAAGGCAGTCTGAGTAGGGAGATGAGAGATGCCATTTTTAAAAAAGGACAACAGTGGGAAAGTACTTTCCCTGTGTGGAAAGTACAGGTAGCTGCTGGTGCTCTTGTGGCCTGGCCCTGTGGATTCTGTTTGTACAGATCCCAGATCAAAGGTGTGCTAAGGGAAGCCTCTGGAACCACAAGTGCTAACAAGTCATGATGTGGGAAATAGGCCTCCCATTTGAGCTCCAGCCTTGAGGGAGAAACCCTTTCTGTGCAAAGAAAGGAGATGCTGGCTACACACACCATCGCAGCTTTGTGTCACAGAGGCTGAACTGGCCAGTGAGACATGGACGGAGATTTCAGGGGTCAAGACAAAGTGGACTAGTGGAGACCAGCCAGCCTTCCAGCTGGTGGAGCATGAGCAGGGTACAAGCCCATCTGAGAGAGCAGTATCACACTAAAGAGAGGAGTTCCTCACTCCAAAACGGACCAGTTTTAGACTTTATTTTGACTTATAGTATTTATTTTCTTATTGTAGTAAGAAACGTAAATAATAGAAGGGCTTTGACATCTTAATGTATAATAATAGGCCAGGTACGATGGCTCACACCTATAATCCCAGCACTTTGGGAAGCCGAGGAAGGAGGATGGCTTGAGGCCAGAAGTTCAAGACCAGTCTGGGCAACATAGCAAGACGCTGTCTCTACAACAACAACAACAACAACAACAACAACAAAAACAAACTCTTACTTGGTGCTCACTACATGCCAGGCACTGTTGTAAGTGTTTTGTATGTATTAACTCATTTAACTCTCATAACTTAAAATTCATGTCCTGCAAAGAGCACATAGAATTATGTGATTTTTTTCTCTGCTTTGCCTTATTATATCATGTTAGATGAAACTGGTCTAGTTTAATAGAAAATAAAACCAACCTTTTGCCCCATTTTGGCACTCAAATATTGACTTTCCCTTCTACAGTACTTCCTTTACCCACAGGACCAAGAATCTCTCTCCCCTCCATCTCTTTTCCTTAACCAGTTAGACATTTGGAGGCCAGGTTTACAATGGTAGTTTTTCTGTGACTCTCCTGCCCTCTGCTGGATTCAAGAGATAGATTGCTGATACCTGCACTTACGGGAGGGGGCCCATTTACCGGAAAGCGGGGTGGATCTGGAGACCGGATTTCCCTCTGGGTTACTTTTGTTCACTAGAAATTTGGTCTAGGAGGTTGTGATCCAGCCTCTGAGTATGCGGTGGAAAGATTCTTGGTAAATACAACTGCCTGGTTTAGAGTTTAGAAGTTGTCTATGTGTGTGCCTACTTGTTTCTTTATTTATATATGGATGGAGAGATGTGAGAGACCTCATTTGTCTAATGTTAAAAACAAAATTTCCTATGCAAATTGATCTTTAGGAATTGGCAAAATTTATCAACTTGTGAACAAGAGATCAGCAAGGTGACAAAAGCTATACTTTTGCGTATGGGAAAAGCATGGAAATGGATAGATTGTTGGAATATAGAAGACTTACATAAGCAACCAGTGCAGGGAAGGAAAAAAACCCTCCCCAACTAGGTAAAGATTGTAATTTCATTATACATGGTAACAAAAATGTCATATTCCACTTTCTTATTACAGAATAAACATGAATGAGGAGGGTTTGCAATGCCAGCAATAATCAAAAAAATCAATATAATGCTAAATATATAGGAAAAATAAAAATAACTTAGTTATAAAATACAGTAATATGTATTTCAATATCGAAATCCTAGGGTGTTACTACAAAAGATATAATTAAGCAATAAGATGTTCACATCTATAAATAATGAACAAGCTTGGATGTAATAGGAGCCATAAGAAGAGAAGCCATTCCATTCAAAATGAAGGCAGAGGTGTGATGGATATTAGAATAAAACCTGATGTTAAGTAATCATAGAGATTTATTTGTGTCAACAAAATAGAGAAGTAACTTGAATTTAAGAAAGAGTAACATGACATGTACTAGGTAGAGAAAATGAGGACATATACTATTGCTGTGATGAGCTAGGTCTTCTTTTCAAGGAAGAGGTTATAATAAATTTGTGGTGTCATGGGATAGAATAGTGAAGGAGTTCTCATAAATCATATAACCCATCTTGATATCTCACCACATGTCAAGGCAAGCATGGAGACTCTAAAACATTTGAGACCTTGGAGACCATGTCCTTCAAGAATTGATGGGAAATAGAGGATGATTTGAAAAAAGAAGCAGTATTTAAGAGGCTTTGGACAAGTTGTGTGGCAGACCTTTAGGGACAGAACCAGATAAGACTGAAAGCCATCAGGAAATCTCCAAATACATCATTTCAATGTGTAATTTCAGAACATAGATTTTATTTATTTATTTATTTATTTATTTATTTATTTATTTATTAATTTTTGAGTCGGAGTCTCACTCAATCACCCAGGGTGGAGTGCAGTGGTTCAATCTCACCTCACTGCAACCTCTTACCTCCCAGGTTCAAGGGATTCTCCTGCCTCAGCCTCCCGAGTAGCTGGGATTACAGGCGTGCACCAATCTGCCCAGCAAATTTTTGTATTTTTAGTAGAGATGGGGTTTCACCATGTTGGCCAGGCTGGTTTCCAACTCCTGAACTTAGGTGATCCACCCTCCTCGGCCTCCCAAAGTGCTGGGATTACAGGCATGAGCCACCGCGCCTGGCCAGATTTATTACTACTGTGCTGCAAATAATTTTTACAATTTATATACAATGGTAATAAAATATTTAAAAATAGGTTTTATGTATGAAGTTCACTGATATCTCTCATTTCATTTGTCACTACAAACGTAATAATGTGTTTGACCTAAAGTCCCGTGACGGGGAGTGGTGGTTTATGCCTGTAATCCCAGCACTTTGGGTGGCTGAGGTGGGAGGATTGCTTGAGCCGGAGGGGTTGAGACTGCAGTGTGCCATGACTGAGCCACTGCACTCCAGCCTGGGCAACAAAGCGAGTCCTTGATTCCAAAAAACGCAAAACCAACCAACCAACCAAAACCCTAAAGTAACTCTTCCTATAAATTTTGGCTAGTGTTATGTTGGTTTCGAATGTATTAATATCCCAATCAGGTATTGCATATTCAGCCTTATCTGAAATCGAATCAACTAACTACATCAAATGAAAGCAACATTGGCCGGGCACAGTGACTCACACCTGTAATCCCAGCACTTTGGGAGGCCAAGGCGGGCAGATCACGAGGTCAGGAGTTCGAGAACAGCCTGACCAACATAGTGAAACCCCATCTCTACTAAAAATACAAAAAATGAGCCGGGCATGGTGGCAAGAAGCCTGTAATCCCAGGTGCTCTGGAGGCTGAGGCAAGTGAATATCCTGAACCCGGGAGGCAGAGACTGCAGTGCGCTGAGATCGCACCACTGTTGTGCTCTCCAGCGCGGGCGACGGTGCGAGATTTAGATTCCATCTCAAAAAAAAAAAAAAAAAAAAAGAGCGACCTGTCCAAACCAGTGCTTTTTCTTTCCTTTTTTTTTTTCCCCCCGCTTTTCTTACTAGAATCTGATCACCACTACTTTTCTTTTCTTCTTTCGAGACGGAGTTTTGCTCTCCTCGCCCAGGCTGGAGTGCAATGGTGCGATCTCGGCTCACTGCAACCTTCACCTCTCGAGTTGAAACGATTCTCCTGCCACAGTCTCCCGAGTAGCTGAGATTACAGGCGCCCCCGCCACCAAGCCTGGCTAATTTTTTGTATTTTTAGTAGAGACAGGGTTTCACCATGTTGCCCTGGCTGGTCTCGAACTCCTGACCTCAGGTAATCCACCCTGCCTCGGCCTCCCTCCCAAAGCGCGCGCTGGGAGTACAGACGTGAGCCACTGCGCTCCACCCCAGCGCTTTTCTTGTTTAGCGCATTTGTGAGCTGTATGACGCCCAGAGTTTTGTTTTGTTTTTTTTTTTTTGAGACGTTGAGTTCTTGTTTTCTAGGCTGGAGTGCAATGGCGCGATCTCGGCTTACTGCAACCTCCGCCTCCTGGGTTCAAGCGATTCTCCTGCCTCAGCCTCCTGAGTAGGGATTGCAGCCATGCGCCACTACACGCCCGGCTAAGTTTGTATTTTTAGTAGAGACGGGGTTTCTCCATATTGGTCAGGCTGGTCTCGAACTCCCGACCTCAGGTGATCGCCTGCCTCGGCCTTCCAAAGTGTTGGGATTACAAGCTTGAGCCACCGCGCCCGGCCCTGGCCTATCTTTTTTTTTTTTTTTTTTTCTTGAGACGGAGTCTCTGTCGCCCAGGCTGGAGTGCAGTGGCCGAATCTCAGCTCAGCCGCCACCTCGCCCGGCTAGTTTTTTCTATTTTTTCAGTAGAGACGGGGTTTCACCGTGTTAGCCAGGATGGTCTCGATCTCCTGACCTCGTAATCCGCCCGTCTCGGCCTCCCAAAGTGCTGGGATTACAGGCTTGAGCCACCCTGGCCTACTTTTAAACAGTCTTCCTCCTGGAGCTTATTTCTCTGGGGCAGAGGCATAAACTCCGCCTCTGACAGCCCCTGAGGGCCCCGCCCCTACGCGCACCTCGCCTTCTTTTTGTTCACTCTATCTCCAGGGCGGGCGCCAGATGCCGACCCAAGCGGAAGTGACGTTAGGCGTCCGCCGGAGGTGTCGTTGGTGTGTTGCGCGACCGGCCTTGAAGAAGAACTGGGGCCTGCTCCCGGAGAAATACAGCTATGTCGATCGAAATCGAATCTTCGGAGTGAGTCCTGCGGTGGAGATGTTCCCGCCGTGCCGGGGGCCCAGAGGTTAAGGGTGTGGGGCGGAAGATACTCGGGGGAAGGCATCCGAGAGGCTAGGGAGTGGAGGGCCATTTCCTTGCCCCGAAAGAAGCATCTTGGATCTGGCTATCTCGGAGGTGGGCCCACAGGAAAGTAGCAGCTCTCAGACGAGAAGCCCAAAGCCTCGAAGGAGGTGGCATGGGGTGGGGAAAACACACCTTGCAGACCAGAGTTCTGTCCTTGGCCGACTGCTGGCGCGCTGTGATTGACCAAATTAAGGATCCACTCTGGACTCCAGTCTAATTGAATCTGCACACGGGGATAGGTCTCTTTTAAGCCTTGCTTCTCTCCCTGTCGAGCTTATGCAATGTGATTTGTTGTCTCTGTGCTCATACGGCCCCTTTGCTTTCCTCTGCCTAGCATTTATCACTCATTGTTGTCACTGTTTGATAACCTCACCCCAAACTAGCTTTGTCGGTGCCTAGGAGCTGCTTTTCCTTGTGGTCTCAGTGTCTTGCGTACCTTAGAGGAAGAGTTAATTGCTTTTGGAATGGATGAACAACTAGCTTTTGGAATGAATGAACAAGTCTCAGGCCTGATCTGGCACTGAATTTTGGTTTGTCTGTGAGCTCTCTGTAACCGCAAAGGAGAGGCAGACTCTGGAGACTGGGCTAGAAAGAAAAATTTTCAAGGAATAGGGAATGAGAAGTAGTGACTAAAGAAGACTTTAGTGTGCTTTTCCAGAACTCCATCCTCCACCTGTCCTTGCCAATACTTAATAATAATTAAATTAACAGACATAACTGTTGTGTTCTGAGTGTAAGGGAGGGAGAGGACCGTTTTTGGAGACTTGACTTTTTTTATTTTGAGATGGAGTTTCGCTCTTGTTTCCCAGGCTGGAGTGCAATGGTGCGATCTTGGCTCACTGCAATCTCTGCCTCCCGGGTTCAAGTGATTCTCCTGCCTCAGCCTCCCTAGTAGCTGGAATTACAGGCATGTGCCACTACGCCTGGCTAATTTTGTATTTTTAGTAGAGACGGAGTTTCTCCATGTTGGTCAGACTGGTCTCGAACTCCCGACCTCAGGTGATCCGACCTCAGGTGATCCGCCCTCCTCGGCCTCCCAAAGTGCTGGCATTACAGGCATGAACCACCACGCCCGGCTTTTGGAGACTTCATAGGAGGAAGGGAGGTTTATACATTCGGCAAATACTGAAATGATGTTAACCAACTTGTCCAAGGTCACATAACTTTGATTCAAATCCCAGACTGTCTTCAAAGCTTTTAACTCATTATGCATTCATTCGTGTTTGAAGGTAGGGAATTTGATTTTGTCTGTGTCAAATGTGAGGTGTTTGAGGAGAGAGATGACTTATTTTGGGAGTGTAAAATGGAAGTCAATGGAAATGTGCTAAGGAAGATAGTATCATACCAGAATAACAGGGGTCTAAGTCTGGAGACCTGCATACCTCATAAAGGGTCCATGAGAGAAAAAGACTACTTACAGTAGCAGCAATCAGTTCTCTTTTATAGTTGTTTTTAAGAAGAGGGGCCAGGTGCGGTGGCTCACACCTGTAATCCCAACACTTTGGGAAGCTGAGGCGGGTGGATCACTTGAGCCCAGGAGTTTGAGACAGCATGGTCAACTTGGCAAAACCACGTTTCTACAAATACAACAATTAGCCAGTGTGGTGGTGCGTGCCTGTGGTCTCAGCTACTCGGGAGGCTGAGGTGAGAGGATCACTTGATCCCAGGAAGTCGAGGCTGCAGTGAGCCATGATCCCGCCACCATTCTTTCCAGCCTGAGTGAATGGGCGTGAGACCCTTTCTCAAAAAAAAAAAAAAAAAAGAAGAGGGTGTTTGCTTTCTTCTCAGGAATATATGCTCAAGAGCCACACTGCCAGTTTGAGTCCTGATTTTTCCACTTACTGTCTCTATTATCTGATCAAATTCTCATCTGTAAATTGGGAAGTAAACTTACCTCATAGGCTTTATTTTATTTATTTTTTGAGACAGAGTGTTGCTCTCTTTCCCAGGCTAGAGTGCAGTGGCATGATCACGGCTCACTGCAGCCTCAACCTTACGGATACAAGCGATCCTCCCACCCTAGCTTCCCAAATAGCTGGGACCACAAGCACACACTATCATGCCTAGCTAATTTTTTTTTTTTTTTTTTTTTTGTAGAGAAGGGGTCTCCTTATGTTGCCCATGCTGCTCTTGAACTCCTGGGCTCAAGGGATCCTCCCACATCAACATCCCAAGTAGCTGGGACTACAGGCACGTGCTACCATGTTTGGCTAATTAAAGAAATTTGTAGAGATGGAGTCTCACAGCTGCCTGATCTGGTCTCAAACTCCTGGTTTCCAGCAATCTCTCTGCCTCAGCCTCCCAAAGTACTGAGATTACAGTCATGAGCCAGCATGCCTAGCCTTATTTAGATTATTTTGTATCAATGACTAGTGTAGTCATTTAAAGTAATTCAGTGAAGTGTGCTACAATATAATTATAGGAATGAATAGGAAACTAGGCTCTGAATTAGGAAATAAGATAGTCACCTTGATACCAACTCCCTTATTAGCTGACTGAGACATTAGGCAGATGATTTCCCTTCCTTGAACCCCAGTGTCTCTATGGTTGGGGGGGGTCCCCTTGTAATTTAGATTGTGTGATTTTGGAAAATTTTACTCACATGATAAAGAAATGATAAAGGAAGATGATTGAGTAGGAGCTTGGTAGGCTTTGTTTTTGACCTCTGGTGAGTGAGAATCCCTGAGCTGAATGATTTGTTTTCTTTCAGTGTGATCCGCCTTATCATGCAATACTTGAAGGAGAACAGTTTACATCGGGCGTTAGCCACCTTGCAGGAGGAGACTACTGTGTCTCTGAATACGGTGGACAGCATTGAGAGTTTTGTGGCTGACATTAACAGTGGCCATTGGGATACTGTGTTGCAGGCTATCCAGTCTCTGAAATTGCCAGACAAAACCCTCATTGACCTCTATGAACAGGTGAGAGTGGTGGAGATGCTGATCTCCGTGGGTTGGTTTGCTGTGGGCCAGCTCTCTGACGAAAAAGCGTCAGCGAGCGTTCCTTCAAGCACAGTAGGGCTACATCAGCCCATAAAACTTACAATGGCAAGGCTTGACATGGTATTTTTTCTCCCTTCTCGGAAAATCCAAGATTTCCCAAATTAAAATTCCTCTTTTTGAGACTAGGTCTTGTTCTGTTACTCACTCTGGAGTGCTGTGGCAAGATCACAGCTTGCTGCATCCTCCATTTCCGGGATCAATCCTTCCTCCTGCCTCAGCCTCCTGAGTAGCTAGGAACACAGGCACGCACCACCACGCCTGCCTAATTTTTGCATTTTTTTGTAGAGACAGGATCTCACCATAATACCCAGGGTGGTCTCAAACTCCTGGGCTCAAGCAGTTAGCCAGCCTTGACCTTCAAAAGAGCTGGGATTATAGGCGTAAGAGAGCCTCAACTTTCTAATCACATAGTTAGTCTTTCTGGTAACTAGCTCCTACCTATCCTGAGCCATTTCCTTTGCACAAACCCAGGTGTGATTCAAGGGGCCCAGGAGTAACAAAGATACCCCTATCACTGGTTAAATTCCAAGAAGCTCCAAGTCAAGAACCTAGAACAAAGATCAGACAAATTTGTGATTATAAAACAGAGAGTAGACTTTTTGGAAATAAGATTGTAATTTGAAGTAAAAGTAGGGAAATTGGTTTTTTGTTTTTGTTTTCGGGGTTTTTTTTTTTTTTTTGAGACGGAGTCTCACTCTGTTGCCCAGGCTGGAGTGCAGTGGTGCGACCTCTGCTCACTGCAGCCTCCATCTCCCGGGTTCAAGTGATTCTTCTGCCTCAGCCTCCTGAGTAGCTGGGATTACAGGCGTGCACCACCATACCCGGCTAATTTTTGTATTTAGTAGAGATGGGGTTTCACCACATTGGCCAGGCTGGTCTCCAACTCCTGACCTCAGTGATCCACCTGCCTTGGTCTCCCAGATGCTGGGATTACAGGTGTGAACTGCCGTGTCTGGGCAGTTTGTTTCTTTATAATCCATATGAGTTCAATAATTCCCAAATAAAATTTTGGTAACTGGAGAAAGGTTTCTCTGGAGCCCATGGGGATATTCCCATTTTTAGCTTTCTTTGGCATCTACATTCTGAGCAAGAAGCTTGAGAGGAGGGGAGATTGGTAGATAAAAATGGATAGAGTTTGAAGGATTAAAATTACTAATTTTTTGAGACAGAGTGCAGTAGCGTGAGCTTGGCTCACTGCAACCTCTGCCTCTCGGATTCAAGCAATTCTCCTGCCTCAGCCTCCCAAGTAGCTGGGATTACAGGCGCATACCACCACACCCAGCTAATTTTTTTGTATTTTTAGTAGAGAGTGGGTTTCACCACGTTGGCCAGACTGGTTTTGAACTCCTGACCTCAAGTGATCCACTCATCTTGAACCACTCCCAAAGTGCTAGGATTACAGGCATGAGCCACCAAGCCTGGCCGAAGTTACTATTTATAATTACTTCAGTTGTCCACCTGAAATTGCTAGTGAAAAGGGAAAGGGGCACTTCCTGGCATTGGAAATCACTTTGACAGGCCATATCTGTGTTAGATATTTTACTGAAAAATATTAATAAGAGAATGTGTTGGAACATCTGTTTTTTTTTTTTTTTTAATTGTTCAGGTTGTTCTGGAATTGATAGAGCTCCGTGAATTGGGTGCTGCCAGGTCACTTTTGAGACAGACGGATCCCATGATCATGTTAAAACAAACACAGCCAGAGCGATATATTCATCTGGAGAACCTTTTGGCCAGGTCTTACTTTGATCCTCGTGAGGTATGACTGTGGTAATGTAAAGGAACTTTTTGTCAACTTTGGAAATATAATAACATCTTTTTTTTTTTTTAATCATTTTATTGGATACTTTTTGTGATTTTGATTTAATTTTTGAGAATGATGCTTCTCTGTTTATATATGTTGGTTGAAATTTGCATGTGTTAAAAAAATAATTTTATTCAGTTTTCTGATTATTTGAGAGTCTTCTACACACCTCATTTTAGAGGATTGTGTGTTGGTTGGTACAGAAAATTTTATTCTGATGTCATTTCCACATTAGCCCTCCCTGAAGTGCTGCCTGACTGCTGGTATGTTCACTGATTATTTGTGTGTCTTGCCCCTAACAAATGCAGTTTCATTCTAGCCTTTTTAGTCCCTAGAAGCTTGTGCTTTTGCTTCTTAGCTGATTATGCTTACTGGTAGAGCATGATGATAGTCTTTTATTCTTCCAAAACCTTATTATCTGTATAGTTTCATTCTTCCTGCCCACCCCCCAGCCTTTCACTAGAGGTTTGTCAAAATAGGAGGAAAAAGGATTAAAAAAATTTTTTGGGGGGTACATAGTAGGTATATATATTTATGGGGTACATGAGATATTTTGATATAGGCATGCAGTGCATAATGAGGGTAAATGGAGTATCCATCACCTCAAGCATTTATCCTTTATGTTACAAAGGATTCAATTCTTTCAGTTATTTTAAAATGTACAATTATTATTGACTATAGTCACCCTGTTGTGCTATCAAATGCTGTTTCTTATTTATTCTTTATATTTTTTGTATCTATTAACCATCCCCACTTTCGTTCTTACCCCGCCACCTCCACCCTTCCCAGCCTCTGATAACCATATATCTGTATCTCCATGTTTTAATTTTTAGTTCCTGCAAATAAATGAGAACATGCAAAGTTTGTCTTTCTGTGCCTGGCTTATTTCACTTACCATAATGAGCTCTAAGTTATATCCATGTTGTTGCAAATGACAGGATCTCATTCTTTTATATGGCTAGTGGTACTCCATTGTGTACATGTACCACATTTTCTTTATTTATCTATTAATGGTTGCTTCCAAATCTTGGCTATTGTGAACACTGATGTAATAAACATGGGAGTGCAGATATCTCTTTGATATACTGATTTCCTTTTGGGTGTGTACCTAGCAGTGGGATTGCTGGATCATATGGTACCTCCATGTTTAGTTTTTTGAGGAATCTCCAAACTATTCTCTATAGTAGTTGTACTAATTTACTTTCCCACTAATAGTGTATGAGGGTTCCTTTTTCTCCACTTACTCACCAGCATTTGTTCTTTCCTGCCTTTTTGTACAAAAGCCATTTTAACTGGAGTGAGATGATATCTCATTATAGTTTGATTTGCATTTCTCTAATGATCAGTTGTGTTGAGCACCTTTAAATAAACCTGTTTGCCTTGTGTATGTCTTTTTTTTTTTGAGAAACGTCTTTTCAGATCTTTCACCCATTTTTAACATTGGATTATCAGGTTTTTTTCCTATAGAGTTGTTTGAGCTCCTTATATATTCTGGGTTTTTTTTTTTTTTTTTTTTTTGACAGAGCTCTGTTACCCAGGCTGGAGTCCAGTGGCATGATCTCGGCTCACTGCAGCCTCTGCTTTCTGGGTTAAAGTAATTCTCGTGCCTCAGCCACCAAGTAGCTGGGATTACTGGTGTGTGCCACCACACTCAGCTAATTTTTGAATTTTCAGTAGAGATAGGGTTTCACCATGTTGGCCAGGTTGGTCTCGAACTCTTGGCCTCAAGCGATCCACCCGCCTCGGCCTCCCAAAGTGCTGGGATGACAGTCATGAGCCACCACACTTGGCCTTGTGTTCTGGTTATTTATTTATTTATTTATTTTTCTGAGATGGAGTCTTACTGTTGTCGCCCCGGGTAGAGTGCAATGGCACGATCTTAGCTCACTGCAACCTCTGCCTCCTGGGTTCCAGGAATTCTCCTGCCTCAGCCTCCCGAGTAGCAGAGATTACAGGCACCCACCGCTACGGCCCGGCTAGTTTTTCTATTTTTATGTAGTGGAGACGGGGTTTCACCATCTTGGCCAGGCTGGTCATGAACTCCTGACCTCAGGTGATCTGCCCGCCTCAGTCCCCCAACGTGCTGGGATTACAGGCATGAGCCACCCCGCCCGGCCGTATTCTGGTTACTAGTTTGCAAGTATTTTCTCAGGAGGAATAAAAACTTAATAGGCACTGGATAATGGAATGTCAAAGTAAACTTAAAATGAGGATAAAGGAAAGGAGTTTAGATCACCAGGATGGGATTTAACTTAGAGGTGGTGAAGCACTTCTGTGCTGGGAGCCATTTAAGAAATTACTAAAGAATATAAAAGAATTCTTGGTTCTGCCAATTTTTGAAAAACTGGAAAAACAACTCGGTTTAATATGGTTTACTTGGACTCTTTTCAGAAAAATAGCAGTGTGTCCTTTGGCCAGGAACTCAGTGAAAAAATAATAATAGTGTGGATTGGCTGACCTCAGTTTTCTCCCAACTCATACTTTTGAAATGCAAGTGGACAGAATTGGGAAGTCATTTTCAAAAACTAAATTAGTTTAATCCCTTCTTTAACTGGGTAATTTCTTTTCACATTTTCCTCTGTGTATGCTTTTGCTTGTTTGTTTTAAGTAAGCACACTCATATCTTGTTGTTGCTTCTTGGAAATGATGCTACATCCTCTCCTTTTTCAGGCATACCCAGATGGAAGTAGCAAAGAAAAGAGAAGAGCAGCAATTGCCCAGGCCTTAGCTGGTGAAGTCAGTGTGGTGCCTCCATCTCGTCTCATGGCATTGCTGGGACAGGTAATTCAATTTCTTTAGAGGCCAGGCATGGTGGCTCACACCTGTCATCCATCCAGCTTTGGGAGGCTGAGGCAGGAGAATCACTTGAGTCTAGAAGTTGGAGACCAGTCTAAGCAACATTGTGAGACCCTGTCTACAAAAAGTAAAAAAATTAGCAGGGTATGGTGGTGTGTGCCTGTGGTCTCAATTACTTGGGAGACTGAGGTGGGAGGATCACTGGAGCCCAGAAGGTTGAGATGACAGTGAGCTATGATCATGCCATTGTACTCCAGCTTGGGCAATAATAGAGTGAGACCCTGTCTCCAAAAATAAAAATAAATTTAAAAAGTGAACTGGTACAATTTCCTAATTTCCTTTGTATAAACTATGTCTTAGCTGAAGAAATCGTACACCTTAAGAATTGGTGACTACCTACAGAGTTGCTTATACCAATAACTGTGCTGTACCACTCTCCTTCTTTCCTGGGAGAGGCAATATAGATTAGTGGTTAATAACAAGCTCTGGAGTCAGTTAGAATTAGGGTTACCATAGAATTTATCGTCCTGTCTGGGATAGTGTTGAGAGTACTATTGATCACTATGCCAGAACACCAAGTGCAAACAGTAACTGTCCTGGAAAAACTGGAACAAATGCCCACCCTGGTTAGAATCCAGGCTTTCTCATTTACCAACTATATAGTCTTGGCAAATTACTTTACTTTTCTGATCCCATTTACTCATCATAGTATTGATGAGTAAGGATTAAGAGAAATAATGTTCATAAACACTTTATACATTTCCTGGCACCTTGTAAATAGTAAATGGTAGCTGCTGGTGATGATTTTTAAAAAAATTACTAATAGTGTTGCCAGCATTGTCATTATTATAAAGCTACCTAGAGTAATAGATATTTTATAAATAACAAAGGGCACAAGTGATTAATAGGGATGTTAATAACCTTTTTGCACTAAATCTGCATTTAGAAAAGGATCAAAAAGCTATTTGTTGTAGGCCTGCAGTGATTCTGAGATTTAAAAGTAAGCTGCTTTTTAATTTTTTAATCAAACTAATAGCTGTGCATCGTTTAAGTAGTACTTCAGGGCTTACAGTGAAAAACAGTCCCATGTGCTTCCCTTCTCCACGTCTGGTTCTTAACTTTCCTATTACCTCCATAGCTGAATACCATGTTTATACTGTTATTACCTGATTTTTTTTTTTTTTTTTTTTAGTCATTAGCAACTAACTTTCTTCACTGAAAAATGATTTGTCTCATACCCACTCTCCTCAATACACACTTACTCTTCTTCCGGATTTTCAGTAGGGTTGTATCACAACTTCTGGTTCGATCTGTATTGAGTGTTTACATAGTTATTTTTATATAGATATTGTTCACAGCTAAAAAATAATTACATGTAATTTCTTACATAAATTTTTATGATTTGCAATAATTATTGCTTTATTTTTTCTTTTGCCTAGTTTTCTATGCACTTCTGCCAGTCCAGCCTGAGTATTTCTGGTAGAACCCTCAAAAGTCCTTTTTTTCCCCCTTGCTGATACCTTTCCTGAGGCCCTTCTCTTTTTGTTCTCATCAGGACTAGTTCTCTTGTATTGCTGCACAGTTCACATCTAGATGTGTATAAGAGACAGGCTCAAGCTATCCGCCCGCCTCGGCCTCCCAAAGTGCTGGGATTACAGGTGTGAGCCACTGCACCTGGCGTGTTTTTTTTGTTTGTTTTTTGTTTTTTGTCTTTAATTAAATGAAGAATAGGGCCTTGCTGTGTTGCCCAGGCTATCCTGCCTCTGCCTTCCTAAGTACTGGGATTACAGGTGTGAGCCACTGAGTCCAGCCTCGACCTTCATTTTGTGAGAAGTGCAGTGGCACGATCTCGGCTCACTGCAATCTCTGCCTCCCAGGTTCAAGCACTTCTCCTCCCTCAGCCTCCTAAGTAGCTGGGACCACAGGCACCCACCACCACGCCCAGCTAAGTTTTGTATTTTTAGTAGAGACAGTGTTTCATCATGTTGGCCAGGATGGTCTCGATCTCTTGACCTCGTGATCCGCCCGCCTCGGCCTCCCAAAGTGCTGGGATTACAGGTGTGAGCCACTGCACCTGGCGTGTTTTTTTTGTTTGTTTTTTGTTTTTTGTCTTTAATTAAATGAAGAATAGGGCCTTGCTGTGTTGCCCAGGCTATCCTGCCTCTGCCTTCCTAAGTACTGGGATTACAGGTGTGAGCCACTGAGTCCAGCCTCGACCTTCATTTTGTGAGAGTACTGAGGCCAGTAACTTCCTGAGAAAGGAAGTGTAGGAATAAATTTTTGAGATTTTACTTGTGTCTGTAATACTGTATATCTTTCTCTCTAAATGTTTAAAGTTTTATTTTCCTCCCTGCCCCATATTGTTCCTATTTTTTCTTTTTCTCTGAGTTCTCCCCTTCCCTGTTTGTTTTGGTGACCATATGTGGAAGTTTTCCTCAAATACTTAGAGATCCATTTTTAGATGTGCTAAAGTCCTGTGGGACATACAAGTGGAAACTTGTAGTATAGGCACTTGGATCTGTGAATCTGGACCTTAACCTAGAGATTTTGGCTAAAATTATAGATTTGGAAATTATAGTAGTAGTTGAAGCTGTAAATGTAATTACCTAGGGAAAGCGCGTAGAATAAGAATAGTAAAAATTTGGCCAGGTGTGGTGGTTCACGCCTGTAATCCCAGTACTTTGGCAAGCTGAGGTGGGCCTATCAACTGAGGTCAGGAGTTCGAGACCAGTCTGGCCAACATGGTGAAACCCTGTCTCTACTAAAAATACAAAAATATTAGCTAGGTGTGGTGGCTTGCGCCTATAATCCCAACTATTCTGGAGGCTGATGCAGGAGAATTGCTTGAACTTGGGAGGTACAGGTTGCAGTGAGCTGAGATTGCACCATTGCACTCCAGCCTGGGGGACAAGAACAAAACTCTGTCTCAAAAAAAAAAAAAAAAAAAAAAGAAGTAAAAATTTGAGAAGGAAACCACAGGGAACACTTAAAGTCAACAGAGCAAACAGAGAAAAGAACAGCCAGAGAGATAAAAAGGAACCTCAAGAGAATGGGTTTAGAGCAGCCAAGAGAGAGTTTGAAGAGTGTTCATTAAGATCAACAGCAACAGAAAACATGATGAGGGTCAGAAAGGAGTCTGGTTTGGCTGTTGGGATATCTGAGATGCACTGCTAGTGGAAAGGTGGGGACAGAGCGATATTGCAGTAAGATAAGGAGTGAATTTAACTGAGAAGTGAAGGTAGCGAATGTAGATGGCTCTTGAACCTTGGTGGTTAAGGGAAGGAGATGAGGGTGGTGGGGAGGGAAGAGGACAACAGAAGCTCAAAAAGAACACAGGGCCAGACAGGGTTTTTTTTTTTTTTTCTTTTGAATATGGAAATGATTAGAAACTGTTACAGGCCAGAAGAGGGTACAGATTGATTGGAGAGGGGTCCAAGGAGACACACATTCTCTCTGGTGATTGCAGGAAAACATAAACATAAGTAAGATAGGAATTTTGGAAAGAAATTAATATATTTAGAAACATTAAATATTTCAACTATAATAATCTTAGAATTTTAAAGTTTAGAAAGTTGCTAGATACAAAATATACAATTTGATTGCACTCCTGTTTATCAGCAGCAGCTAGTTAGAAAATTCAGTGGAAAAGTGTTCTGTTTATAGCAGAAATATATAATATAAAACCTAGCATTATCTGGGAAATAGATGATTTCCATTTTTAAAAAGGCAAAAAAAAAAATCCTTCAAAACTTACAATAGAATACTTGAGTAAATGGTGAAACATTGATTTTCTGGGATAAGACTGACATTCAATACCAGTTCTCAGATTTAAAGCAATTATCATAAAGATTACAGTAGGATTAGAACTACTTTACAAAGGAATTTAGCATTCATCTGGAATAATAAACTTGAAAATACATTTATCAGGCTGTGCATGGTGGTTCATGCCTGTAATCTCAATGGTTTGGGAGGCCGAGGCGGGTGGATCACCTGAGGTCAGGAGTTCGAGACCAGCCTGGCCAACATGGTGAAACCTCGGCTGTACTAAAAATAGAAAAATTAGCCGGCCATCATGACGCACACCTGTAATCCCAGCTATTTGGGAGGCTGAGGCACGAGAATCACTTGAACCCGGGAGGCGGAGTTTGCAGTGAGCCAAGATTGCGCCACTGCACTTTAATTGAGACTCTGTCTCAATTTAAAAAAAAAAGAAAAAATATATTTAGCAAAGAAACTTTGGAAAGGAAGAATGTTGAGAGCGTACTAGGCTTAGAAATACTGCATTTAATAAAGACCTATAGTTTGCATCATTTTGGTAGTGGGCACAAGAATATCTGTTGCAACCAGTGCAACAACAATGCAAAATCCCAATCCTGTTATTTATAATAATTCCATGGATGACAATGGGGAATACCACAAAACCTAGGAATATAGGAAAAATATATTTAGTATATGATGTTGGGGCACTGACTTTAGAATTGCGGAGGAGAGGTAAGATCAGAGCCTGCTCCCATATTTTATGTAGCATAATTTCAGATAGAAAGTTAGATATTTTAAGAAAATAGAAAAACACTTGGAGATTATATAATCTATCAAACCTGATAGTCTTCCCAAGCTTAGAGATTAAACACCAAGGAAAAGATCAACAGATTTCATCACTTGAGAATGGAACTTAAGATGAAAAGAAACCTATAAAGCTATAATCCAAAAATAGACATAGTCACAGCTACTTGGAAGGCTGAGATAGAAGGACTGCTTGAGCCCAGGAGTTTGAGGCTGCAGTGAGTTGTAATCATGCCACCGCACTTCCAGCCTGACAGAGTGAGAACCTCTCTCTTTAAAAAGAAAAGTTGGTAAAATAATTCTTTGTAGCAAACATAAACAACAAATACCTTTATCACATTAAAGTTCACAAATTGGTGAGAATGGTAAGACTATGATAGATAAGTGAGCAAATACCATGAACAGTTAACAGAAGAGGAAATATATCTAATAAATACAGAGAAAAGTTCAACTCAATCAGAGAACTGCCTAAAGTAGGGTATTCTATTTCTACTTATTAAAGTAGCTAAAATTTTTAAATCAGCAGTCCCCAACCTTTTTGGCACCAGAGACTGGTTTCGTGGAAGACAGTTTTTCCACAGATGGTGGTGGGGGTGTCAGAGGGGTGGGTTTCAGGATGAAACTCTCCCACCTAAGATTGTCAGGCATTAGATTCTCATAATGAGTATGCACCCTAGATCCCTCGCATGCGCAGTTCAAAATAGGGTTCATGCTCCTATGAGAATCTAATGCTGTGCAGATCTGGCAGGAGGTGGAGCTCAGACTATAATGCTGTCACTCGCTGGCTACTCACCTTCTGCTGTACAGCTGGGTTCCTAATAGGCCATGGACTGGTACTGGTCTGCAGTTCAGTGGTTGGGGACCCCTGTTTTAAATGATATCCAAAAATTATTGATTTTTCTTGGTATAACAAAAGGAAAGGGGAATAAACATTGATTGTGTGCTTATTATGTGAACATGTGCTTATTATACAGGATTCACATATATTATTTTGTCTTATCCTCTACGAATTAGGCTTTTTTTTTTTTTTTTTTTTGGAGAAACAGTCTCGTTCTGTTGCCCAGGCTGGGGGTGCAGTGGGACTATCTTGGCTCACTGCAGCCTCTGCCTCCTGGGTTCAAGCAATTTTCCTGCTTCAGTCTCCCGAGTAGCTGGGATTACAGGCATGTGCCACCACACCCAGCTAAGTTTTGTATTTTTGGTAGAGATGGGGTTTCACAGTGTTGGCCAGGCTGACCTGGAACTCCTGACCTCAGGTGAACTGCCCGCCTTGGCCTCCTAAAGTGTTGGGGTTACAGGCATGAGCCACCACCCCTGGCCCCCGAATTAGGCTTTTTTTTCCTGACTTTTTCAGTTGGCAAAACTGGGAGTCAAAATGACATAGCTGGTGAATGATTTAACCTAGGACCATCCAAAGTTCATTATTTATTTCACCCCTCATAAAGCAGTTGTGAACACTATTGCAACTGCAACTTTTTTTGGAAAGCAGCCCTTTTGGAAAGGAGTTTGGCACTATATATCAAATATATCAAGAGCCTTAACCATTCTTGTTCTTTTTGGATTTAGTAATTTCTTTTCCAGGAATATAAAATAAGAGGGGAATATCCCCAAAATAGAAAAAGCCTTATGTCCAAAGATGTTCATTGCAGCATTATTTAGGTGATTGAAAAATTGGAAGCAGTGTAAATGTCCACTAATATATTGATTAACTGTGAGACATCTACTTGATGGGATGTATTTTACAGCCATTAAAATGATAGCTGTGACTAGTATGATCTATTGATAGGTGAAAACAAGAGAAAATAAAATTTTACATATAGTATAATTACAACTAGGTTAATGAAACATATGTAGGGGGGGAAATATTGGAAGGTAGTATATAAAATGTTAGTAGTGGGTGTGTTTGAGTGTTAGTACTATGGGAGATTTCTGTTTTCCAGGTTTTGTTTATAACAAAAGAGCCACACCTATAAGAAAATAGGTGGATGACAGACTTGGTTCTCAGAGTCCCCTTCCACCCTTAGATCAGCCTGTGTTCTTGGACACACAGAGGAGCACGGATTATGTTGTGTTTGGATGGCCAAAAATAGTTGGGGTCTAGATGGCTCACAGCTTACTCTGAACCTCATCCTTTCAGGCTTGGTTTCTGAGCAGTCATGACCAGATCTTAAAAGCACCTGAACAGATTGCTATACTTTTTTTTTTTCCTCATAGGCACTGAAGTGGCAGCAGCATCAAGGATTGCTTCCTCCTGGTATGACCATAGATTTGTTTCGAGGCAAAGCAGCTGTCAAAGATGTGGAAGAAGAAAAATTTCCTACACAACTGAGTAGGCATATTAAGGTAGGATCCTAAGACATTCAGCCAGTCAGTAATCATTTGTTGAGGACTTGTCATGGGCTCAGCCAGGCCCTGTGCCAGGGGCTTGGATACTTGAGGAGGAGAACTCATTCTCCAGCTCTGACAATATTCAAGGTTGCTGCAGGTGTCCACTGGGATACTGCTGTGCCTGGGGGTGGTACACCTCAGATGTGTCATCTAATGGATGGACATCTAGCTTGACTTCTAGCCCATCATCTGCCCTTGCACTGCTTCCCAAGAAGCCTGCATTTGGAAGAATGGTTAGTTCTTTTTTGGTTAAGTCTGGGACTGAACTTTCTATGTACTTCTCCTGTTCAACATTTTTGTTTTGCCTGCTATGTGTCAGGCAGAGTGCCAGTCAGGGATTACAAAGTGGGCTTATGTGATGTTTGAGGAAAGTGACTTTATCATCTTATGGTTTGTTTTTGTTTTTTTTTTTTTTAACTGAGAGTTTTCTAGGAAAAAGTTTTCTAGGTAATTCCCAGAATTACAAGCATATTTGCTACTTTAGCATCTCTATATTACAGTTTCTCTGGATTTGTGCTCTAAATTCCTGGATTTTAAAATACTTCATATTCCTCAAATCTTTGACTTTAACATTTTGGATTTGCCTTTTCTGGATTATATATCCTAACTTGTAGATAAAGATATTTTTGAGCAGCACCTTTATTTACTCTGCCTGAAACCTTGAGACAAATAGAAGTCCATCGTTATTATGCTGCTGGGCTAAGATTTTCTGTTATAAACACTTTCCTTTTTTGGCATTTAAGGTGAAATCCACATTAAAGCTTTTCTCTGTTCTTTCCACCTAATTTTCTGTAGTTTTCATCTGTTATTGGGAGCATCCTCACTAGCAAATGCTCAGGATGCATTTATCAGACAGTATATTAATTTTAATTAGTTCTTCTAAGTTTGGTCAGCTACACATTATCACTTGATTAAATGAAGGTTGTGAAATACTGATGGAAAGTGTATTTACAAAATAATGTATGGAAACATACATTTACTTTGAAAAAATGAGTTATTCCCCCCGAGATACACAACAGGAACATGTTAGGCCATATTGAGTATGAAAGTCATGCTAACAGTGGCTGATTCTTGCAAAACATTATGGTCTGAACTAACAGGATTACTTGTTCTAAGTCCCATGTTAAAATAGCTTTTGTCCTTTTCTTAGGAAATATCAATCTCACATTCAAAAAACTAGCTTCAACTTAGTGCCTAGACATAAAACTAGTCAGAGAAAAATACATCCACCCAGCTCCCTGCGTCCAGGTACAGAAATACCCCTCCAATGCTCTATAATATGGGCCAGCTATGACTTTATGCTAGGGCAATGTTTCTCAAAAGGTTAAAACAGGAATTATTTTAAGTCCACTGGATAAAAATGCATCTGTTTCATTGTTTCATTTGAAACAGTTTGGTCAGAAGTCACATGTGGAGTGTGCTCGATTTTCTCCAGATGGTCAGTATTTGGTCACTGGGTCTGTTGATGGATTCATTGAAGTATGGAACTTTACTACTGGAAAAATCAGAAAGGTAAAGTATTTTAAATGTGTTAACCTTCCTAGTGAAAAAATTACTGATTTTGAATTACTTACGTATGCCCTCACTCTAAATCAGATTAGTTGAAAAAGGATCTGAATGTAATGAACATGTATTACTTTTGCAATTAAAAAACTCATTTAAAGCTAGGGACAGTGGTGCATACCTGTAGTCCTAGCTACTCAGGAGGCTGAGGCAGGAGGATCACTTAGTTGAACCCAGGAGTTCAACCCATCCTGGGCAGCATAGTGAGACCGTGTCTCTACAAAAAAAAAAATTTTTTTTTAATTAACCATGCATGCTTGTGTGCACCTATAGTTTTAGCTGCTTGGGAGGCTGAAGTGGGAGGATCCCTCAAGCCCAGGAGTTTGAGGCTGCAGTGAGCCATGATTGTGCCACTGCATTCTAGCCTGGGCAGTGATGCTGTCTCAAAAAAAAAAAAACGGTATTTTTAATTAAATTCCAATTTTATTAACCAGGAGAGGACCTTTATTATCTATAATTGTTTTATTATCTATTATTTTTACAAGTAAAACATTTTTTTTCAGGCTGGGCACAATGGCTCAGGCCTGTAATCCCAGCACTTGAGGAGGCTGAGGCGGGTGGATCAACTGAGGTCAGGAGTTTGAGATGATCCTGGCCAACATGGTGAAACCCCGTCTCTATTAAAAATACAAAAAAAAAAAATTAGTTGGGCGTGGTGGTGGGTGCCTGTAATCCCAGCTACTTGGGAGGCTGAGGCAGGAGAATCGCTTGAACGCAGGAGGCGGAGGTTGCAGTGAGCCGACATCATGCCACTGCACTCCAGCCTGGGCAACAAGAGCGAAACTCTGGCTCAGAAAAAAACAAAAAACAAAAAAACAGAGTTTCGTTCTTGTTGCCCAGGCTGGAGTGCAGGGGCACGATCTCGGTTCACTGCAACTTCCGCCTCCCGAATTCAAGTGATTCTCCTGCCTAAGCCTCTGGAGTAGCTAGGATTACAGGCATGTGCAAAAAAAAAATTTTTTTTTTCCAAGGGGTTATATGTACAACTGATACAACGTTCAAAAAACAGAAAAAGTTACTCAAGTAGCATTTTGCTCCTACACTTGTACCTCAGCTAGTCAGTTACCTTCCTTGGGCCAGCCAGGATTACCAGTTTCTTATGTAACTTTCCTGGAATATCCTGTGTGTGTGTTATTTATTATGTATCCTTTTCAAAATTTTTTTGATACAGGTGATAGCATACTACATACCCTGTTACACTTCCTGCTTTTTATAGCATATGTTAGAGATTATTGGTGTATTATATTACATTGCATGGATTGAACCATGATGTATTTAACCACCCATTTTATTTAAGATCATTTCCAATCTTACCTAATTGTAGTACTAATTCTATTTCTCTTATGAATGAAGTTAAACATCTTTTTATATGTGAAAAGCCGCCAGTATTTCTTTTTTATTTTACTGAAGCCACTAATATTTCTTACACTATGAAGTCTGTTAGTATCTTTTGCCCGTTTTTCTATTGGATTGTTCTTTATTGATTTGTAGGAGCTCTTTATATTTTAAGGAAATTAAATTTTATAATATACATTACAAATATTTTAAAATTTTGACTTTTATGTCTTGATTTTGCTTGTTTTGTTTTACAGACTTAAATTTTTTTTTATATCATTAAATTTATTCATCTTTTCTCCTACAGTTTCTTCTAGTACTTTAATCTTTTATTTTATGTTTAATTATTGACCCTTCTAGAATTTGTTTAGGAGGATGAAGTTGGTATAGATCCAACTTAGTTTTTTCCTCAAATAGCTATTTACTAACTTTTATTCACTGATTTAAAATATAATTTTTGACTGGGCGCAGTGTTTCATGCTTGTAATCCCAGCACTTTGGGAGGCTGAAGTTGGTAGGTCACTTGAGGTCAGGAGTTCGAGGCCAGCCTGGCTGACATGGTGAAACCCTGTCTCTACTAAAAATATAAAAATTAGCTGGGTGTTTTGGTGCGGACCTGTAATCCTACTTGGGAGCCTGATGCAGGAGAATTGCTGGAACCCAGGAGGCAGAGATTTCATTGAGCCGAGATCGCATCACTGCACTGCAGCCTGGACGACGGAGCAAGACTCTGTCTCAAAAATAAATAAATAAAATGTAATTTTTATCGTAGAGTGCCAAATTCTACTCTATGGGTAGTGGATTTATGAGTGATTTTTACTTTCTACTTTATTTTATTTTATTTTATTTTATTTATTTATTTTTTTTGAGATGGAGTCTCGCTCTGTCGCCCAGGCTGGAGTGCAGTGGCCGGATCTCAGCTCACTGCAAGCTCCGCCTCCCGGGTTTACGCCATTCTCCTGCCTCAGCCTCCCGAGTAGCTGGGACTACAGGCGCCCGCCACCTCGCCTGGCTAGTTTTTTTTTGTATTTTTTAGTAGAGACGGGGTTTCACCGTGTTAGCCAGGATGGTCTCGATCTCCTGACCTCGTGATCTGCCCGTCTCGGCCTCCCAAAGTGCTGGGATTACAGGCTTGAGCCACTGCGCCCGGACTTACTTTTTACTTTAAATATTTCTGTATAGTTTGCTTTTATTTTTTAAACCAGGTAGCCGTCTCACTTTATAATTAGAAAAAAATAAGAAAGATAATCCATTTGAAAAATAATGGATAATAAAAGAAGCATCACAAATAAATAGATTAGTAAACTGTTTCAGGAAACGTAGCTGATGATTTGGAAAAAATATTAGTTTAGTTTCCCACATCATACAGAAATAGGTAAATTCAAATTTATTAAATATGTAAAATATGAAACTAGATAAATTTTGCCTAGAAAAAATCAGTAAGCAAAAGATCTAGAGTAGTATGTTGGTATTTTTAATAATACTAATTTGAATTGTATAAAATTATTTATCCCCAGCAATATCACTAGGAACTAGTTACTAGGAGCATGTATGCATGGCACTTGTGTTTATTTTGGGGGTTTAGAGTAGGTACAATCCATTGCCCTGGTTTTGTGAGTAGAGAACTGGGGCCTTGACTTTTGTGTTATTTTGATAACTGCTAACCATTGTTTCTTTAGGATCTTAAGTACCAGGCCCAGGATAACTTTATGATGATGGATGATGCTGTCCTGTGCATGTGTTTCAGCAGAGATACAGAAATGTTAGCAACTGGGGCCCAAGATGGAAAAATCAAGGTATGGATTAGTGCCACAGCCTCTCATGTGTAGACATTTTGAATGTTCTGCTATGGGGTAGTGTCCTGTATATGATATTCAGCACAATAATAGCTACTGATTATGGAGCATCAGCTTTATGCTAATCACTTTACTTTTTCTTGTGTAATCTTAATAATAACTCTGCCTGGGTGATCCAGTAACATGTTTAAGGTTGCATACTTGGTAAGTGATAGATCTGGGACTTTAGTTCACATCTGCTTAAGCCCTTTCTGTTGTACCATCCTGGCTTGCTGTATAAAAATCAAAATCACTGACCTTTTTTTTAAGGGGATGATCTAAGAGCCAGTTTGTTGTGGTTTGTATTTAATGCTAGAAATACATCCTGGGCTACAAAAATTGCAGAAATGGTCTCTGCTAAGTGAAGTTACAGTCTATATTTTTGTTTTAATAATTTACATGAAAAGAGTTTTAAGTTTCAAAGGATTCAGTTACCATTGTACTACGTGAACCAGACACATCATATTCAGCTATTAGCATGCATTTTTAATGCTGTTTCAGTACATTAGTGAGCATTGCATCTTACTTGGCTCTATGGGCTATAGTAGGACACTTTACAAGTTTTTTTTAAATTCTTTTTTTTTCAAATAAAGGTATGGAAGATTCAGAGTGGACAGTGTTTAAGGAGATTTGAGAGGGCACACAGTAAGGGTGTCACCTGTCTAAGCTTCTCTAAGGATAGCAGTCAGATCCTTAGTGCTTCTTTTGACCAGACAATTAGGTAAGTAAAAATCCCAAAACTGTTCTCACTTGAGTCTGATATAATGAGGCCCTGGAGGGAGGTACTAGTGATTCCTTATGCTTTTACCATGATGGTGTGATACGGAGAGGGAAGGTATGTGAGACCTTATGTCCCCAAAGTACAACTCACACAGTGTTGTTGTTTTGTCCATTTGTGTCTTTACCCAGAGGAGAGATTTGAAAGGGAGTAGCAGTGATTCATGTTTCTCAGAATATGGTCCTATGGACCTATCTGTATCATAATCACTTTAGAGGGTCTGTTATACTGGGACTCAGCTGAGACCCACTGATCTCAGTCTTCTGTTAACCTGTTTTTTAGAGGTCTATCCCTGAACAGAAGCTTGTGGTGGTATTGGCATGTTTTCTTCCAGCCTCTTTCTTTGCAAAGCTTTTGTTTGATTGTTTGATATAATGAAAATTATACCATGTACACAATCACATAGCCCTCTTAATATTATAACATGAGCTTCTGTAATTTATCTAAAATGCATTCAATCATTGGTCACAACCATAAGATATTAAATATTTATTGTTCTTTTCATTTACTTTCATTTGGTAGAATTCATGGTTTAAAATCTGGGAAAACACTGAAGGAATTTCGTGGCCATTCCTCCTTTGTTAACGAAGCAACATTTACACAAGATGGACATTACATTATTAGTGCATCCTCTGATGGCACTGTAAAGGTTAAGTATTTGCTTTCGGTTTATTTTGGGATGTCTACCCCATCTTTGTCCTTTGAGGAGTTTTCAGTGGTGATA